CCGGTATGACCGACATGATCGATATACGAATCTCTAAGTAAAATGACCTTATTTTAGTGAATTTAATTGATCAAAATTATTTTATTATTTATTTTATGAGTATAAAAGTTAAATGTTGATGTTATTTGTTGGATTCAAGTATAAATGTGTAGGTATTGACGTTAAATGTCATGTTTAAATATGAGTATTTATAATTTTATTTGTAATATTGACCGGCATGAACCGGCACAAACCGATATGTACCACCGGTCGAACCATTCCACTTGCTAAACCGGCACACTGGTATAAACCGGTTTGACAACCTTGGAGAGAACCAACTAAGAAGCTAAATGGTCCATGTTAATGGCCAAGTGTCAAACTCTAGTTTTTGGTTCATGCATGAGGACACCTCATCATTTTTACCTTTTGGTGGTGGTAAGATGCTACACTCATCTTTCTCTACATTGGCCACATGAGAAAGTGGGAAGGTTGGCTAATATGTGTTTTTGTAGTAAGAAGAAGAATAGATTGGTGATTGGTGGAGGTAAATTAACACAAAAGGCTAATTGGTTGTCTTTCTCCTTATAAGCCACGTGTGTGAAGCCAAAATAAGGGGTTGTCTTGTGTAGTTTTTAAGGAGATACATTTGAACCATAATTCTTTCTCAACCCATGGCCTTGAATGGGAGTAAGGATCATGGTTGGCTAGTTTTGGAGTAAAGGGAAATCTCCATCAATTAACCTCTTCCTATGAAACCTCTTGCACACGTGGTTAGAGGGGAAAAATATGGTAGCTTTATTTGTGTTTGTTAACCAACAATTAAAACTCATTGACCTTTCCACGTACACATCCTTTTTACCATGTGTATAGGTTGATAGATGGTGAAATTTTGGGTCCATCAGAATTAGAGTTAGGATTTCTTTTCCAGGCACACAATTTTGCCTTTTGTTTTCAATTTTCAATTTTTTTTTCAATTTATTTTGTTAAACAGAATGGCCGGAAGGGGAAAATCGAGCGACCGATTCGAGCGGCTCGAGCTGGTAACCTCCTCGGCCGTTCGCCAGCCGCTCCATAAAACCGTAGCGGCTAAATAACTGACGTGAGCCGGTTTTGCGGTCGGGTGACGACTTTAGCGGTCCGGTCTTAATAACATTGGTTCGACTAGGACTGGGATAACTTAATCAATTGTGATATTCCAGTTCGATCCTCCAGTTACTTTAGTAATCTTGTCCAACTAGGATTCATATTTCAATAGTGATTCTAGAAGAAGAACTTAGGGCTCGTTTGGAGAATTAGAATCTAAATCTCTAGATTCTAAACAATCCAAAGTTTTGAACTCTCCGGATTGTTGATTTTTTTTTTTTTTTGAAAATGTTCATTGTTTGATAACTGCGATTATTAACATACAATAAAAAAGAAATTATATTTGTTTATAAAATGACATTGACATGTTTTTCCTTAACCAAAATAATTAAATGGCTAAAAAAATATTGAAAATTTTATCAATAAGGATATTTAGTGGGATAAATTAAAAAAAGGAAGAGAAAGAGTAACAGAGAGAAAATCTCTAAAATCAAGATATATAATCTCTTTAATTGGGAGAAATTAGATATTTTTAGATTTTAGAGATTTAAAATCTCTAAATATACAATTCACGATACAAAAAGTAGAAAAAAGCATAATATTTTGTCAATTCTATGAATTCAATAAATCTATCATCCAAATCTAGTTCTCCAAACGACCCCTTATGAGTGATCGCTCACTTCGTGCGCTTCTTCTGTAGAGCTTCCCTATTGTAATAAAAAAGTTCACATCATGTTGGCAATGATTTCAAGGATCATAATTAACTACCATACAATTAACGAGAAGTCTAGCAGGCAATATATGAATTCTTTTCGTCTCAGATATCAAGCTCAAAGCAAAGTCATGTGAGTATTAATTTGTTGCTTTCAATTTCGTTGACTTGGACTATTATGAAGAGCAGAGATTGGTATTGCATATGTTTACACTCGAGCCGAGCGTGATAAAAAAAATTACAAGACTAATCGATCAAAAGATCAAGGATATTAGATAATTAGTCATTATAATGGAGGGGTGAAGCATCTCTTCCATGATCTAGTCCCATGAACACTTTGCTCCGTACACAACACTTTGCATTGATTTGATATAGAGGTCAAAGCATGTCGATGTCAACTAGAGACACATGTTGTGTGCTTGTACTATCCATGTTGAGCACAACTAGAGACACATAGATATTCGTACAGTACTATCCATGTTGTGTGCTTGTAGAAGGGGGTCGATCCTGTGATTTGATTTTGTAACACTTGTTTGTATGCGTCATGTCCTAAATTTATGCAAATTTGAGTACCACCCCAAATGGTATATTTTTCTTTCTTTTGTATTAATTTGGGTACATGACTGATCGACAAGGCAGTGGAATGCAAATCCTTTTTCTCCAGTTCAAATTCGAGTGTTGTCTAGATATATACTAGTCTTGGTTTATCATGTTAGATCGAGGAAAGTCTTAGGATGAGGACATGAGGTCCAACATCCAACATCCTCAAGTTTCAGCCAACAACTTTGAGGTGAACACCTCAGTTATCACTATGTTGAGAGGCTCAATGGTGTTCCATGGGAGAATAGGCGAGTGCCCCCGCGCGCATCTTAGGCAATTCCACGAGCTGATTGATGGGATCAAGATAAATGGGGTCCTTCAACATGCCATCCAGCTGCGCTACTTACCATTCACCTTGGAGGGACATGCCAAGCTGTGGTTGGACAACCAGCCCCTGGGGTCCATCACTACATTCATTGACTTGGACAATAAGTTCCTGACCCGCTATCATCCTCCTTCTAAAACAGCGAACCTGTAAAAGGAGATTACCCATTTCACCAAGTAGGAGGACAAGACCATCCAAGACGCTCGGGAGATATATATAGGTCTCTTCCTGAAGTGTCCCAACCATAGTTTCAATGATGCCTTGAAAGTGGGTACCTTCTAGGTCCCTCTTTCCTAACGATAAGAAGCTGATCAACTCGATTTGTGGCGGAAATATGCTTACCAAGACACCACCGCAATTGAACAAGCTCTTTGAGGAAATGGCAGAGCATGGGTATGATTGTGGGATCTCAAGGGAGACTCGGCGAGCACCCAGCTGTGGTGTGCATGCCATGGATACCCAGTAGTTAGACCTGGTGAAGGTGGTGACTAAGCTGATCATGATGATTGATCGGAACGAGACTTTTCCCGGTACAGGGCAACAATAGGTAATGCATTGCCAGTGGTGTGAGAGCTCCCATCACATTGTAGAAGACTTTCAGGCAATGAGGGAGTATACTACACCCCAAGAGCAGGTAGACTTCATCGAAAATGCTCGGCACTTCGATCCGTACAACAACACCTATAACGAGGGATGGCGCTAGCATCCTAACTTCTCTTAGGGTGGCAGTAATCCTAATCCACCAGTCTCCCAGGGACCCCCAGGCTTCCAGAGGCCGCCATACCAACCCAGCCAAGGGCAATTCCACCAGCAACAACTTCTTTATCCATCCATACATGGGCAAGCTCTTTCTCAGCTGTAGTCGAGGCCTTTTCAGCAGCTGGGCACAGCTCCTGCAGCCCCAGAACAACATGATCCGATGGCTAAACTGCGGGATTTGGTGGGTTTTCTAGCCAGTTCCCGTGCTCATAAATTCAACAATATCGAGCAGTTTATGGATAAGGCTTCAAGTAAATTCATGGAGCTTGAAGTTGGTCAGAGACACACCCATGCTGTTTTGCTGGATATCCGGACCCAGATGAGGAGTGTGGCTCAAGCATTAGCACAGAGGGCTCCGGGTACCTTACCTGGTCAGACCATTCCTAATCCGCAGGAACCAAATGCCCATTTGAGCGCCATTACCACCGGGAGCGACAAAGTGACTTCTGACCCACCTGTCCGGGCAAGATGGAAGGAGGAGAGACCTGTGTTAGCACTTCCAGCAGATAAGGAAGAAGGGGAAAATGAGATTGAGGTGTATGTTCCTAAGCCACAACCAGTAGCGAAGGAGTATGTCCCTCAGCTTCTTTTTCCTACTCCGTAGCACAAAGACCAAAGGGAGACTAAGTTTGCCAAATTCATGGTAATGTTGAAGCAGGTAAACATTAGTATGCCCTTTGTGGAGGCATTGTCGAAGATGCCCAAGTATGCGAAGTTTGTGAAGGATCTCCTCACCAACAAGAGGAAGCTTGGGTAGCTATCGACAGTGATGCTCAACGTGGAGTGTTCTTCCATCCTGCAAACAAACTACCGAAGAAGCGAAAAGACCCAGGGAATTTTACTATCCCTTGCATGATAGGTAGCTTGAATGTAGGAAAATCCTTGGTGGATTTAGGAGCTAGGATTAATGTCATGCCATATAAATTGTTTAAAAAGCTAGGCCTATGTGAACCTAGTAACACTAGGATGAGCATATAGTTAGGGGGTAGATCTATTGTGCATCCTAAGGGTATTGCAGATGACTTGATAGTCGTAGTAGGGTCATTCTCATATCCTGTTGATTTTGTAATTCTTGATATTAATGAGGATGTGGAGGTGCCTTTAATTCCAGGAAGACCTTTTCTCGCCAACGCCAAGGAGTTATCGATGTTAATGAGGGTAAACTGATTTTGAGGGTTGAGGGTGAACAAATCACCGTCTCTGTTTCTGACAACATGAAACACCCTTAGCTCCATGATGATTTAGATTACTGCGATGTGGTCGCCGATTTTGAGACTGCACTCGCCATCATGAGTGCGGGTACTAATGATTTCCTACAACTTTGTCTTTTGCTAGAGGAACGGGCATCACATGAGCAGCGGCTCGAGGAGCAGCTCGCAGAGCTAGAGGCACCACGATTGAGGGACGAGAGCAGTCGTTCAAGTCGATCTATATCTCGCCCTGGATCACCACATCCTTGGAGGAGCCACCAGATCTGGACCTAAAGCCCCTCCCCTCTCACCTGTAGTATACATTTCTCCGGGAGGGGAATAAGCTCCCGGCGATTATCAGCTCGGAACTGACCCCTGAGCAAAAGAGCAATCTAGTGACTCTGTTAAAGTAGTACGCCCGGGCCATGGCGTGGAAGATAACTGATATTAGAGGTATTAGCCCATCCTTCTTCTACCACAGAATTCGATGGAGGATGAGGTTAAGCCAGTCAGGCAGGCACAACGGAGATTGACTGCTAACTTGGAGGCAGTGGTCCGGGCAGACATTGTGAAGCCTATGGATGTCGGGATCATCTTTGCTATATCTGATAGAAAGTGGGTCAATCCCACTCAGGTGGTCCCGAATGAGAAGAATGAGCTGGTTCCGATGCGGACTGTGACCGGCTGGCGTGTCTGCATCGACTACCGACACCTGAACGACGCAACCAGGAAGGACCATTTCCCACTACCTTTCATTGATCAGATGCTGGAGAGGTTGGTTGGACATGAGTTCTACTGCTTCCTGGATGATATGTTCGGGTACTTTCAGATCTCGATCACACTAGAGGATCAGGCGAAGGCCACCTTCACTTGCCCCTTCGATACTTTCGCATACCAGAGGATTCCATTTGAGCTCTGCAATGTACCAGCGACCTTCCAACGGTGTATGATGGGGATCTTCGACCGACTGGTTGGAGAGATCATGGAAGTCTGCAAGAACTGAAAGGACGCATATGCATAAGTCAAGGTGGTTGAGTCTTTTGCCCATTGGGATATGAGGATGGTTGAGGTCCGATCCTAGTGTTTTGGCTTGATTGCTAGATGTATGGTCGGGGTATGCTTTGTTATTAACTCACGATGCAATGATTGTCTGACTCAGCTATGAGTTGACCCTCTTTTATTCCTTTCTCTGCTTATGCTATGTGTAAGCAGATCATCAGCAGTAGCAAGTACATATATAGGTGTGAGTAGAACGAGGAGTTGAAGGCAGAATGAGGTATTGTCTTCAACTATTATGTGCTTGGACGACTACTTGGAATTTTAGCCAGTGATCCACACCTCTTTTGTAAAAATGTTTAGAGAATGTTTTTTCATGTGCATACTAGCTTCTGGAGTAGTTTGAGCTATCCACAGGTGTGGAAAGTTGATAGGTGTATATTTGTGTGGTTGTGTAAGTTGTGACGACTATGGCATGTATTAGTATGGTATACTGTTGTGGAGTATGAAAACTTTGACTATGGCTATGAAAAGCCAATGCATATGGTTGTGAGTATATATGTTTGTGATGAATTATTTTGCAGGATAAGTTGCAAGAACTGTTAGCCCATTACGGGAGTAATTCATGTCGAAATTTTAATTGGGTAAATTTTGGTAATTAATGTAACACCAGTTTTAAATTCCGCTGAAATTGTATGAACATTATGATTAGGCAAAGCGTACAGGGTAGGGTGTTACATATAAAGCTAAATAGGGTTTATTGTTCACTAAGACATTAGCTTTAATTTGGGTTGTGTTATTTAGCCTTGACACTTGGGCAGTTGTACAGTGGTCATTTTTTTTACTCTTTCTTATAAAACTAAAAAATGGTTCTTCAATTGGGTTGTATTATCTGATAAAAAATCCAAAACTACCACTGTTTTAATTTTTTTTTACAAAACTACAACCCAAACCAAAAAAATTTTAAATCTATCACCCTTAATTAAAAACCACAACGCAGGGGCGGTTATAGTGAAAACTGCACTGCAAGGAGGCGGTTTATCATGGAACCGCATCCTAGAGGAGCGGTTTGAGTTTTTTGGGAAAACCGCTCTTCGAAGGAGTGGTTCCCATGGCTGCCCTAGCACAAACTGCATGCTCTGGGTGCGGTTCTGCGTCAGCAACATAAACCGCCTCTCAGGCAAGCGATTTATTAGGGCGATGCACAAACCGCACCCCCATTCCCCGACATCCTACATGTCAGCATGCAGGAGGTTGCAGGGGTGGGGGCTGCATGCCAGACTAAAACTACTCCCCCCTGCGGGTTTCAGTGTAAATTTTGCCTATAAAAGGCAACCCCGGAAAACTCAAATCTTCACTCCTCTCCTTTTCCTTCTTCTTCTTCAAATTTCAGTTGTGCACCTTTAATTTTTTTTTTAGTTTTTGCGATTAATGTAAATTCATAAGTTTGTTTTGTATTACTTTGCATTGTCATTTATGATTTTTATGGTAGTAACTTAATTACGATTTTATTGCAGATGGCATTCCAAAAGTTCGCGCTTGGGTTACGGTGGAATAGTTACACGGAAGAGATCGGAGAGGGGGCACGTTACATCGATGGCAATTTTTATAAAATGAGGGTCGCTACGAGACCGATGCTTGAAGAGCTCCATCAAATGTGTACTGAGGTTACCTGCATGGATGACACTAGAAGAGTTGATCGTATGGTGTATTGATATCCAAACAGACATTGCGGGTCGTTGTGCAATGAGAAATTCCTCATTACTACTCAAGAGGACGTTGATGCCATGGTGAAATTTTTGACCACCAATAACATTAAACAAGCGGAGATGTTCGTTTACACCGAGGCGCTCGAAGGCGGTGTAGGTCATTCTGGAGATGGCCAAACGTCTGGTATCCAAGGTGGGGGTGGATTATACGAAGATCATCCCCACTAGGAGTACCGAGACCCGAGCTAGTGCCAGGAGTATCATGATGGAACTGAATATCATCATCAATCCTTCCCATCATATGAAGAAGAAGCTCAACAGGCTTATGGGAACCAACAAGAAGGCTGCCAGTACCAACCTGAGTACAACTTCTACCAAGGCAGCGGTAGTTACCACAACTACCATTACGGAGCTGATGAAGGTGCCTTTCATGATCTTCATCAGATGGAAGATGTCCATCCAAGTCCAATTAGTGACCCTTAGGATGAAGAAGAGAAACGCGACGTCAGTGCAGAAAACTTCGATCCTCTTGAAGGTGCTGATGATTTCGTTCCAAATTCACACGCAAACGGTGATGAGGTGCCTCCTGACCGTGTGCCTATCTCGTACTACAATCACATTCCAAATGAAGATTGGTATGTTGATGCCGACAAGGAGTCGCCAGAGGTGCCAGCAGTATGGGGTCCACTCAATGGCTTTACAAAGGGCCAACAATTGCAACGAAGAATGAGGTGCGGCACGCTATTGCCACTGAAGCAATGACTCGGAGTTTTGAATGGCACACAACCCATTCCGACATGAAGAGGCTGATGGTTAGATGCCAAAATCAACACGAGGGATGCAAGGCTAGGGTCCGGGCCATCAAGAGCAAGAGAGTCAGGCATTAGGTCATATCCCGTGCGGTGAACAATCACACATGTGTGTCATCCATAACATCCTAAGGCCATCGACAGTTGAAATCCAGGGTGGTTGCCGCGGCTACCAAACATCTAATTGAGGAGCAGCCCGACCTGAAGGTTAAAAACATCGACATTTCTAGCCGTTATGGATATATCATTAACTACAAGAAGGTCTGGCATGAAAATTAGAATGCAATGGCCGCCGTGTTTGGGTCTAAACCTGGGCATCGTTTTCTCTCCCCGCTACCAAGATGAAGAAATTCAGCCGCCGGAGCCCGGTAACAAACATCATTTCAAGCGTCTTTTCTGGTCACTCAAGACATTTATTGATAGTTTTCCATTATATGTGCCTGTGATTCAAGTGGATGGAACATTCTTTACCGGCAAGTACAAGGGCACTCTATTGATCGCAAGCGGAGCAGATGCAAATAGATGTGAATTTCCATTAGCCTTTGCCATTGTTGAGGGACAGAATACCGACAGCTATGGATGGTTCTTCAGAAAAATTAAACTCCACGTCACCAGGCGGACAAACCTAACAATCATCTCTGATCGCCATGCCGGGATCAGGGTCTCAGAGATGGTGCATACGACACTTCAAAAGCAATTGGAACCATCATTTCAAGCGGAAGAAGCTTGCTGATAGTCTATGGTGGACCGGTAAGAGTTCTATTTTATTTGTCTAATAATTTTTTTAATTGGAAAATGATACTAAATCAATACAATACAACACTTATTTAGACTCTTTATAAAGAAATGCATGCCTAAGGAAATGGGGTCTTAAGTGATCATCATGATCCTCCCATTTCTTGGGAAAATCGGGTTCTAAGCGATCCACAGATCCCCCTTTTCTGTCAAAAGGCTGTCTTTATAAAGAGATGTATACCTCTCCTAAAAGTCTTACGAGTGTACTTGTATTGCTCAAATTCTTTTAAAAACAACCAACACGGATATACCCTTACATTATGCTTTTGTTTGTATATTCATCAGTTGTTGCCTACCAAGAGAAGAAATTCAAAGAGAAGATGCAGAATATCCTTCTGCTATGCCCTGAAGGTGCGCAGTGGCTTGATGAACATGACCTAACCATGTGGACTTTTCATAAGGACGGAGGTACCAGGTGGGGTATTGCCACAATGAACTCAAGAGAGAGTATCAACAATGTCTACAGGGCTGTTCGTGTACTCCCCATCTCTGCAATTGTTGAGATGACATTCTGGAAAACGAATGCATGGTTCGTCAACCATCTCCACTAGGCTGAGAAGAAGGAGGCACAAGATAAGGTACACTCCGATAAGGCCACATAAATAATGGAAAAAGATAATCGGAAGAGCTCTCGGCACACTGTCACTGTTATGAACAAAAAATGATGGCAAGTATTCGGTCGAGATTGGGCACTGGGAGGATGGCAGACGTGGGGGTCATCGCCATGAAGCCACTTCAAATTTAGGAACAAAAAAGGGGCGTGCTCTTGTCAGAAGTATCGGGGTAGAGGTATACCTTGTTCCCATGCAATGGCTGTAATCAAACACAAGAGCAAAGACCCTCGTCATTTTGTCAGTCCGTTATTCAACATCGAATAAAAAAAGAGCAGTTTTGGAAACAATTTTCATGCTTTGCCGGATGAAGCTTACTGGCCAGTCTATGAGGGAAAGGTCATCATACCACCAATCGGACTTAGGCGTGAAGCAAGTCGGTCGCGGGTAAAAAGGATTCCAAATGAGATGGATCAAAGTGGAAGACCACCGTGAGGGCCAAGGCGGTTTTCCATCTGCAAAGTACCAGGGCATGATAAATAAAAATGTCTTGGACCAATCGGTCCTCAAAACCTAGGTCCCAAAGTGGTGAATCAGGATAACGACGCATAGATTGATTTCATGCATTTTCACATGGTTCACAATGTGTTTTTAATTTCAATGGTTATGTACTTGGTTTTTGTGTGATTAAATGCCATTGGAGATTTGAAAAATTGCCACAATTCGACGCAATGTTCCAACTTTTTTAATAAACACATCACTCACACAAACACACTACTACATGAAACACATCACTCAAACAAAACATAACTTGAAATAAACACAACTTGTTTAACTTAGTGGAAACTTGGTCGGGGATTGTATCGGAAACTTGGTCGGGGATCATAGTGGAAACTAGACCAGGGATCATAGTGGTAACTGGGCTAAGGCTCATGTTGACTACTGGGGTCGTAGAAATAACTCGGTCGCGGATCGTAGTGAAAACTCAATCGGGGATCGTACTGAGTACTCGACCCTGCACCTTGGCACACCTCCAATGGATTAGGCACCTTTCATGCCTCATTCGGCTTAATCTCAAGCACGTGAGGTCGATTCCTTGTAGTCTTGGTTGGCCTTCATTGGACCGACGAGGGCGGGATGGGGACATCATGCGTCACCGGAGCAGGT